GGGCGACGTGTGTGTGAAATCCTCTCGTGCATGAGGTAAGGGATTCACAATCCACACTCGCTTCATTTCTTTGCAGGGGGACGGAAAGGGTGCAGGGGAGCTCCGTCCAACGAAGCTCTCCCCTGCACCCCAGGAAAACGTACCTGCATCGCCTGCGCCTGCGCCCCGTCGCGGGCAGCTGGAGGGGCACTCACTTTCGTTCATTTTCCATTTCATTTCGTGCCAAATCATTCTTTTGTGTCTGACGTAGCAAGGGGCAGAAACCATACCCCTGGCGGATCATTTCAGTTCGTTTTCGCATGCCATTCCCTTTGGGCTGCCATACTTGGCACCAAAATTCTCATCCCATCTTCGTTAGCATCATCATCGTCAACATCATCTTGTTTCATGTCAATCCATCCCGGAGTGCGACAACACTACATCAGTGTGTGTGTGTATATGTGTTTTTGTTTGTGTGTGTGTGTGTGCGCGCGAAGCATGCTCTTGAGCTTCCCTGCAGCATTGACCGGGGCTCTGCAACCTCGCCTGGCTCCGTCCGTCATCGGTTCAATCGTCTGCTGCCGTCGTCCTTGCATATTCAATTAGGTCATTCGGCAGCTCTAGTTCCCCAGCGTATGGGTGGGTTGAACGGATGGAAAATCCCTTGTCGCTGGCTGGTTTTGAATGTTTGAGGCCGTCTCCACTGCTTTCCCCCGAGCCTGAAGTGGGCTGTGAGTAGTTAAAGCTGGACGACAGGCTGGGAGTGCAGACAACTTGAGATCCGCGCCAATGACTTTGCGCGACGCTTCCCGGGACTCAGCCCTCGCCAGCGTTTGTGCCTCAGCATCCTGATTTGTATGAGTTTTGCGAGCATTGGGGTCAGTGCGCGACTGCCAACAACAAATGTCTTGGCGCAAGACTAGTGAAGTTTTCATTCGGGTTTATCAAGTTTAACAGCTTATCACGTATCATGAGAAGAAAGGGCTGTCTGCTAGCTGAAGGCATTTGTGGCACAAGCCAGGCATCTGGAGGAGTAGGAGACTTCATCGCAAGCGGTCCCGCAAGCAAAATGCCCCACAACATCCCGCAAAAAGATGCCAGAATTGGGATGACCAGCTTCCACAGCGACCTGTGTTTGCAGATTGATTTGATGAGCCGTCCATGCCATGGTCTGTAATTTCTTGACCCTGGATGCCGTGGAGCCAAGACGGTGGAGCTCTGCAGAGGTTGCTGGATAACTGGGACATCGTTTGATCCAAACTGTTGCAATAAGGTCTGAGTCTGAATGTTGTCCAGGACGAACTGGCTTGCATTGTGCATTGAAGGGTAGACTGTATGCACCCGTTTCATTCCTGGTAGACTGCATTCACCGTCGAGCTTCATTCCTGGTGGCACGACTTAGAGCTCTTTCTGTTTGGTATGTGTGGCAGCAGGTGAATCTATTTGAGGAAGCGTTCGCAGAAAGATCCCAAGCTTCTTGGTGGCCATTGCAGCGGGTTCATTCCGAGACGATTCCCTACATTCGTTTAATCCGATAGCTTTTTTGCTGGTGTTAGTCCGTCAGGCAGGGGTAAAGCTCAGGCGCCAGAGAGTCCCATCTCGCATCTGGTTGACGACATCATTCGGGAGGCGAGTGAGACAGAAGAGTTTGCGCGAGGGCCACCGAAAGAAAGAGTATCTCTTTACCAAACAGAGTGTCGCGAGAAGACGTGTGCTGTGCAGGTTGGCTCCGTTGGCTTGAGGGTGCCTGTCGCAGTCTCGCGAGGTGCGCCGACAATGCCTGGAATCCCCCACAGCTGGCCTGCGTTTGGCACTTCGTGCGGCATGACAAGATTTGGTTGGCCGGCTTTCGGTGTATTGTGCGAGACATGCCCCAAGCTGAATGGCAGGGACCTGGGCTAGCACATGAACATTGAGCAAAGACTGGTTTGTCCACAGTCGCATGTGCTTCACTCGCAGATCTTCGCAGCCTTGTGACCCGAGCCAGGTTCTACAACATGCAGCTGGCCATGCCGCGAGGTCCTTTGCTCTTGACGTTCTGCGAGAGGCCGGCCGTCGACTCAGCATTTCTCGTGGGGGTCACAGTTCAGTCAAAGACAATCCGTGCTTTGTGTCCTCTTTGCATACCCTTTTCTTCGAGAGAAGCTTCACTGCTGGTTTTGTTGTCTGGTGTGTTTTCACAGAGTTTCCCTTTTTGTTGTCGCTTGGCCTTTGCCATGCTATGTGCCCAAGTGTCTGTGTCCCTAGCATTACATTTAGGCTAGTTGCGCCACCCCGATCAACAGAACTGATGGATCAGAAGGAATGCAAACGTTGTTTGGCGTCTTGTTTGTTTGTTTGTTTGTTTGTTTGTTTGTTTTACTTCTTGATATGTCGATTGTCGATTGTTGTTTGGCAACGTTTACGGTGAAATCCGGGCCTTGTTCAATCCACAATTACCTACTCTGCCACGTGAGGATGACGGTGATGAGTTTAGCTGCTCTTCGAAAGTCCTCTCACCAAAGCTCAGTCGAGGTCCCCCACTGGAGGTTTCGATCCCCAAACCCTAAGCCTTAAGCCCATTTAAGCCCTAAAATCTAAAATCGTAACCCAAAAGGCCCTTTGTTGCAACTGTCGAGCTGCTGGCTTATGTCAACAAACCAATAAAAACTTGGTCTGTTTGGAAGATGTTTGCTGCCATGCGAATGTCAACAACTAAATGTAAACCCGATAGTATACGTAAATGGCTCCTTCCAAATCTTCTAGAACGTATGAACACCAGATGCATGCAGGTTTGCACAGAGTGGTGGCTTCTTGACGAGGAGGATGTTATTACCCGCAAGTGAAGACGGTGTAGCCGAGATATTGTGTCATGACGTTCTCCAGACATTGTCACCCGCATGTTTGCGCCCGCACCCTCTCTCTCGCTCTCTCGGTCTCTCTCTCTCTCTCTCTCTCTCTCTCTCTCTCTCTGTCGGTGTGCGTCTCTATTATGAGCGCAGTTTGGGGGTCTGCTTGTCGAGCTGTGCTATGGACAGCTCAATGTTCCGCTGTCAAAGTCTAAAGTCTTTTGCGCACAGCTCAGTGTTTGGAATGCCATGGGTGCTCTCAGGGTCAGGGTGCCTCGCTGCGAGGAGCAGCACCAGCTCTACGATGTCATCTTGCAGATGCGTGCCTTGATGGGACCAGGAGGAGCGTAAGTAAGAGCTGGTTCTTGCACCTGAGCTACGACAACAGCTCCGTGCTGGTCTTTGGATCTTTATCTCAGGTGATCTTGATGCAGACTGGGGGCCGCAGGTGGCCAAGGTCTTGGAGGCGGCTGGACTTGTGCAGAAATCTGTGCAACGAGCGGCCGCACTTTCGGCACTAGCGTCTCCAGGTCATCGGCCAGCAAAGTGACCTTTGCCGACTCGTGCGATCACAGCGGCTTGAATCGTATGAAGCTCTGTGCACAAAGAGGAGAGTTTTTCAAGGAAGGAAGTGCTCTGCCCGGAGGTCGCGCTTGCGCTCTGGTCTGAGCTCCTCGCAGTGTGGAAGCCCGGTAAAGGGGTGTCACTTTGTCAACGACATTGTGAAGTTTTCGGTAAAGCATCGAAGATTGAAAGGTCACTGCCGCAGCTGCGAACAAGAAGTGGGGATCCACGGCAAGCATTGGCACGTCATGTCGGTTGATGAGTGGAGGAGAGTGTGGTGTAGAGAGGAGATGCTGTTAAGAGTAGTATGGAGTGTAAAAGAATTAGATTGACCAGATTGACAAACAGCCTCGGCACATGTTCTGCGTTTGAGGCCTGACCCATTTTAGCCAAGTCCTCTAGTCCCAGGACTTGTGTTCAGAGAACTCCGGCCCTTCAGACTGCCCTCAGCTCTGCTTCGTTTGAGCATCTACTGAAGCTCAGGCTTCAAACAGTCAATTTGCTCCGTCTCGCCTTCCCACGTGGCTTAGCTATATTAGATTTTTTACTTGCAGAGGCCTGCTGCAAGTCAGTTAGTTCTTCTTAACGCAAGGATGATGGAACTTCTTACCTGAGGACTCGCCAGTCTGTGTGGGATCGGGAAAGCATCCCGAAGGATCCGCCAAAGAAGCCCATCCCCTGGTGGACGCCCAGGCCAGCCAAAGTAAAAGTTCCACGATCTTTTTGGCGTTGTCAAGATTTTGCAATGCTTGTGGAGGCAAGTGTCATGGCTTGCTGGGCAGCCGATTTTCCCTGGCGAGCAGTTCAAGGCTTGGGCCGTTCTCTGCAGAGTCTGCATGCTGCCAGCTTCCCACTCTCTTCGAGCCTCAACTGGCGTGATCGCCTTCTCTGCTTCTGCTCCCTCCGTCCTCTTCGGCTGTTGCTTGGCAGCTGGGCTTCGCGGAAGGCGCCATGTCCTGCTTTTCGATCAGTTGGACGTCACCCGGTCTCGGAGGAAAGAGCATTGTAGGGGCTCGATTGCTCAGTGACACGTGAGGGCGATTGAGCATGTCTACTGCTTCACCCAATTCAAACATCTCTTGCCCTGTGCTTGTATTCTGCTTATCTGCAGCCAAGGGAGAGGTTAAACTGGCAAAGGAAAGTGGCTACCCATACCCCTCTGGAGCATCCATTCATTTCCTTGAGGCTTCTACTTCGAGAACTACCAGCGCTGCCATCCATCTACATTCTGAGTTTCAACTCAATACAGCGAATCTTTCGACAGACCGCTGCTTAGCCAGGTTGTCCAAGGCATCCTGCTGCAGCCCAAATTGCCGAAGTTTCTGTGATTCCGAGCTGAAGATCGCTTTGTGCCCGGCTCCGCCTTGTGTTCAGTGCTAGAGTCACTCGCTTGATGCAGTGCAACCGTCGGTAGTAGGCACCGCTAAAGTCACGCATGAGGCGGAATCGAAGTGCGGTGCAAGTCTCGCAAAAGGGAGCCTCGGATCACTCGGACGCACACCGCAGAAAGGTGACCGTCAGTCAAATGTACAGGGACCTCATGGGACCTGCCCTCGGGCTGACCAATGTCGGGCGAAAAGCCATACCAGCCTTTGTGAGTGTGCCTGTGCTCGTCCCCTGAAGTCTTCAAAGATGACTGCTCAGGTTGGCTTCAACATGCAACGCTGGTAAACGAGGTGAAGGAGCTGCAGTCAAGGCGTCCCACTTCTGGGCATGCTTAGCATGTGCATCTCTCACCTCGTCCGTCAGATTCTGTGAGGCTGGCTCCGCTAATTACATACGCCTCCCCGGCGCTTTTGAAGTGTACGTGTGCCTCTTGCAACTTGCAACGGTGACTTTTCACAGACTTGTCTGCCGAATGTTGATGTACCTCCGCAGCTTTGGGCTCGGAGATGCGAGCTGCAAGCTAACCGAACATGTCTGACACAATAGTTGCCTTGCAACCATTGACTTATCAAGGCGAATGCCATGTTGCTGCAATGGCTCTGGGTAAGGAAGGCTGATCCCCCCCAGCCAGATGCATCGTCGTCTTTCGCACAAAGCTTGGCGAGGCATTTTGAGACCAAGGCTCAGAATGTCTGAAATGAGAGTGCTCCTGCCAGGCAGGCTGCTGCAGAGCGGGCGAGGAGACTTGCCGAGGCATCGGGGCTTGAGTCCACTGACAGGCCTTCCTTGGTAGCGGCTGTAGAGCTAGGCTTCGATTTTGCGTGTCAGCGTCCGGCCGGGCTACAGAACTTGAAGGGACTTCAGTCTTTGAATTGGGCGTGCCAGCACTTCGTGGTGAGCTGCACGGCACCACACATGCGGCACATGCTTGAGACACGCGAGCTTAATGGCCAACTGTCTTCACGCGGCAGTCTTGCTGGGTGCAGCCTTTTTCACCTGAATTGGGAGGATGCCGACCGAAGCAGTCAATGGGTGCAGGAGCAGCTGGGGCAATTTAAGAAGGAGCCTTGGTGACTTGAGCAGCTTTACGATTTTGGATTCCCTGAGAAGTGGAAGATTTGGTGCTCAAGCATCAACTTTTGTGAATTTGCTGAGGTGTGCGAGACGCAGAGCCAAAACGGGCTCATGTCCGTCATCCATCGCACTGGTCAGCTTCCAAAAATGTACTTTGAAAGCCGGAAAGACATTCTCTTCAATGAGCTGCAGGCAGCCCTCGCTGGTTTGGGTTTCTCGGACTTGAAGCTGGCCTGGAAACATGACGTGAAGCGGGAGGCGGTTCAAGCTGGCTCGACAAAGACATCTTCGAGCATACTGATTGAAGCCTCTTGGGAGGGTCTCGATGAGAACAAGGAGGGTGCCACTCTTCCTAAAGGCGGTGCTGGCGGTGCAGCAAGCACTTGTGCTATTTGCGAAGATGTGGGTCGCATCGTTGTCTTGGCACCGTGTGGTCACGTGATGTGCAGCAAGTGCCAGCAGAAACACGGTGGCCGTGTGTGTCCATTTTGCCGCCAGGCAGTAAGATGTGTGACTAACGGCCTTTTCATGAGCTGATGCCTGTGTCTTTGAGTTGGATGAATTCGGACCTAGCAGGAAAGCACAAAGGCTTGCTACTTTGATTCATGGTGCACGCAGTTTCGCCAAAGTAATGCGTCGATTTCCCAATCATGCTCTTCCGCCGTTGCTGAATTGGCTGCTGAGCGGCTACGCCGGATAAGGGCAGCAGAACCAGGACAGAGGTTGCGACCATCAAGCGTACTGCGTGGCACAAGGAACTGCCAGAGCTCAGACTTTAACAGCTGTGGCCGCACGGTCTGCTTCGAAGTTTTGCGGCAGTCAGGCGCAATGCAAGAACTCACTCTCTGTATACCCAGATGCCAGTCTACACCGTAAAGATCGTAAAGCAAGGATCTTCTTCACTAACACTTTGTTTAACACTTCGCTAGCCGATCGTCGCTCATCCTTCGTGCACCCTTACAGGACCCTGGTCATTCCCTTTTCTAGTACTCTTATGGTGCCCTTATGTAGCGCCTTTACATGTTTGGTTCTAAGTGCCAGGTTTTCGTTCAGCATCTTGCATACCTCTTTCTCGACGTGGCCAGGCTGGGCTCTGGACTGTATATGCATAGTAATCGTAAGAGGGAGGAAGAGCAATACTATTAGTAGCAGTAACAGTACGACTCTGGCAGATGACCTGAAAGTGCACAATCGTACGTGAGCTGCTTTCGTGATGCAGGCAGTCGTGTGATGCGACCGTTCCTTTCAACATGGTGTCGGGGGCCACAGTTCGAGATGTTGCGGAAGATCAAGATTTGATTAGTTTCTAAACTCCGAGGCATTATCTTTTTCGCCATGTGATGTTTCTGGGCGTGCCAGCCTAAGTCAGGCGAAGAACATGTGCAAACGACACAGCATCGGGAGCAGAAGCAACGTGAAGAAAGTTTCTCCAGCATGCGCGAGATGAACAGCGCTTTGATCACCGAAGCACCTTTGCCTGTCCTAAGGCCTTGGCTGTCACGGTGTGGCGCATTGGACACTTAGCTTTTCAGCACTGTCCATGGTACCCTACATTGGACGATGGTATGGCGTACTTTGTTTGCAGTGGTTTGCAGCAGGTTGCCGCAACATGCATTGATGCGGTTGCAATCCAGCTAGCCCGCGATGCTTCTGCATTCAGGAAAGCTCAATTTCTCGATTTACGAGAAGCTGCACAATGCCGTCCTAAGCCTACTGGGTCTGTGTACGAGGGACAGGAGCTTGCTTCAAAACTGATGTCACGCTTGATCCCCAATTACGGGGACACGTTTATAGGATCCAGGGTATGGCATGTGCCCACAGGTTTCACCCCAGTGTTGACGTGGCCCACACCTTGTTCCATATCCGAAGGTCATGGACCTGCTGCCCATGAACTGGGCAGATCTGGGTCATTGCCCTGCACCCAGTATTTTTTCCAGGTGTTTTGCGGGCAAGGATCTTTTGGCATCAAGTTGCCTCATGCAGGTAGACTTCTGCCAAGTAGGACTGTATGGGCGACAGCGACGCATACAAAAGCGGCTCCGAGAAGCTGTTGTCACGGTCAATGTGCTCTCCTGTGTCACTGTTGAGCCGCTATGCCTTATGTCGCTCCAATCTTGAAGATGGCCGCCAAGGCCCAAATGTTGGACAGACGGAAGTTGTGTCGCGTGCTTATAGACTGAGCCGCTGACATGTCTGAAGCGGCACACAGAAGAGGACTAAATGGATGGAGCAAGAGAGACCTTCACGTGCCCACGTTTTCTGCCAGCTGCAGGCTGCAGGTTGTTGCTCCGCAGAATTGTCAGATGATTCTAGGATGTGCCGAGGGCGTGCTCGAGGCACTCAGGCCCAAGCACGCTCCCGAGTAGCAGCTGGCTGAAGCTCAGAAGCCCAGGCTGCAGCGACAGCACATGGAAGATTGGTTTCGATACCTTCAGTCTGGAACCTACTCTGTGCCATGAGATCCTGTCCTGTGCTGGCTTTATCTCTCCAACCGTTCCTCTTCGTGTCTTTTGCCCCAGGCACAATATCGATACAGGTAGGCGCAACTTGGAAGCAAGATGCACCAACTAGAATCTGATGGGTCCGCAGTAGATGCACATCTGCTGTTTGGCTTAGCACAAATACTGTCTTCCTCTCCATGACGTCGTGCTAAGGCGACGCATGCATATGCGTGCCGCGAGCCCAAACGGTCGCGTTCAGTGCTCGTGTGCGCATCGAGTTGCCTTAACTCTTAACATATCTTAACACCAGAGGAAGGCAAACGCACGAGAGATAGCAATGTTTTTGACGTTCTTCTCCACTGGAGGTCTGGTTTAAGCCCAGTACAAGCTGCATCGTACTGATTGTCAAAGATATTTGCAGCTTCGTCTGTCCATGTGCTAAGGTTCCACCTTCGATTTGCTGCCAAGTCGTACTGCCGTGCGTGTCTTGTTTCTGCACATCCAGCAGTTCACAGTCATGTCACAGCTTAATGCGGAGGCGTTGCTGGCAGATCTGGCAGTAAGTGCTCAGCCTTGCCAGGCACGTCGTGGCTCTCTCCGTCTTGACTTTGCTCACACTTCCGGTTGTGAACAAAGTGTCAGGCACTCGAATAGATTTGCGATTCTGTGTGCTCGGGGGGGGGGGGGGCATATTTTCCATGTTGGACCCTTCGGAATGCAACCGTCGCCCCCCCCAATGCCTGCCAAGGCTGGAATACTACGGCAAACAGGTGGTCAACGATCGCCTTCTCGGAGGCCCACTCCGATTGTTTCATACCTGGGAGTGAGGTGCCGTCTTTGGGGTGCTTTTTTTAGGATCGCAGCATCGGAGGGTTGCCCATCTGAAGCATTTGCACGCCGAAACCCGCCTGCCATGCCAGCCATGAAGAGCCGAACGAAGGCCGTGAATTGTCTAGTACGCAGATAGGTGATATCTTGCCTGCTGAGGCAACGATGTCTCAGAGAGATCCTCGTTCCTGCACCAAATGGAGCAGACGTGTATGCCACACAAAGAATGAGTGAGAAAAGAAGATCTTCAGCAGTCCAATTACATCTGATGTGCACATGTGTCTGTCTGGGTCAGATGTGTGATGGCCTTGAAGAAGTGATGATCAGCAGCTCGTGTGAGATGCACACCTGGGAGATGCATCAGATATTCAGAGCCGGACTTGGGCTAACTGTACTTAACGTGCAGCTCTGCAAGCAAAGCAAGTTCTCATCGTTTCGGTTTTCTGGCAGCGGCTCTCTGTCTGTCATGTTGCATGGCACTGCCAGCAGCAGCTGCGCAGCGA